AGACAGGCACAAAGACACACAGAGTAGTCTGACTCACCACTAATTTTAATATAGTATAAAAATTCTAACCTTTGAGTGATTTTCCCATTTAAACCGTCCACAATTTCCAACGAAGTGTCCCCTTGTGACCAATTCACACTAAGAGATCTGTGCTCCAAGTCCATCTGAACCGGATGCGTAGCAGTCACTAAACTAATATGAGGTAGGCACAAAGACACACAGAGTAGTCTGACTCACCACTAATTTTAATATAGTATAAAAATTCTAACCTTTGAGTGATTTTCCCATTTAAACCGTCCACAATTTCCAACGAAGTGTCCCCTTGTGACCAATTCACACTAAGAGATCTGTGCTCCAAGTCCATCTGAACCGGATGCGTAGCAGTCACTAAACTAATATGAGGTCTGTTGACCAGGTAAAACATGGGAAGCTTTGATATGAGTGCATCATCAACACGTTGTTTTATAGCTATTTCTAGTCCTCTTGTATCACTGCAGTTTCCATCCCCTTTAAAAAAAACCCATGTGCAGACAGATCACCGTAAGCAGTGGCTTTATATACACTACACAACTTTTAGTGATATGGTTAATTTAAAGCTACCTTTAATTTTTAAAAGTAAGTAAGTAAAAGGACTTACAAAAGGTTTTTCTTCAACTAGCTTTAGTCTAGATTTTAAGGTGGATGACATTTTTCATAACACCCCTATCAATTCAACAGAAAATGTTCACACTTTTTAACCAGCTCTACTTTGTACTAATTATGGGCACGTATAATTGGAAATTTTCATAGATACAAATTATTTAAGTTGTCTGAATTTAAATGCCACCACAGCCTTTGTAACATTTTACTTTTAAACACTGAGGTTTGCATGGAAAACCAACAAACCCCAGGAAATTTAGAATTAATGTGTGGTAACAGGCAGGGTATTATGACAAAAAACAATCTCCAAGACATTAAGCTTCAATTTTAAAGTATAAAAATATTTACATTTAGTTTCTTTTTCAATAAAAAGTATAGAAAACTCTTGCAACCAGAATGAAATATCACAGCTGAAAGTTAGGACTTAAGCGATTATTATTTTACATAAGTAAAGAAAGGCTTACCAACAAGTATACTACTGATGTAAACTGGCTGAATGAAGTGACTTAGTAATGCTCCCTGGACACCTAGCACTTCCCATCTTGTTAATTTGTCACTGGCTGACATGCTGCTTACTCTGCTAGCAGCTTCAGTGGGACAATAAACAGTTAGGTAAACCTTGCCTTCCACAGCAACATGGAGACTGAGCTCTTCATTAGCTTCAAATGCAGACACAGAATTTGGATTGAGACGTCTAAAATAAATATTACAAAAAAGATAATGAAGTCCAACAAAATGTTTTCATATATTTTATATACACAATGTAAAATCATTCTTCCATAAGAAGACTAAAACCCCACTAGAGAGTGTTCAAATCATAACTGTTTTATGTTTGTTTCTTGTAAATAACTACTTTCCTGCCTATTCAAACTAACCAGATGAAACATAATTTAGCCTACTGAGTCTCAAAATTCTAATCATTCACTAGTCATGAAAAATTCTACTGCAAGGCTACTACTACTGCATTTTGCGTCCAATTGCAATTTATCTGGAGCTATGCTTGCTATGTGAAAGTTTGCCATTCTCATTTGAGACAACAGCCAAAAAATCTTCATACTCTAATGTATTTGAAGAAAACAGCATTGGCCATATATCCTATACTCCCTCTTAATGGATTTTCTAAATAGGAAAGAATTTAGTAACGTTTTTAGCTTTTAGAGGTCCTCAGGTAACAGAAGCCTGTGACTCTGGGTTAAAGATTCTGCATTCTATCCCAGCCAATCCATAGTATGACAGGCATACAAGGGCACTAACAGCAGACTAGGGATGTAATGGTATAGTCGATTAACCAATTCAATAAGCAAAAGCTTATAGGTTAATGCTAAAGACTACACACGTTTCGCTCTCCTTGCCTGTAAATTTTTTAGCAGGCTGGCCAGCAGCCTGGCTTAGTCCTGGCTTGTGACAGGTCCGGGACTACCACTGCTGCAGCTCTGCATTTAAAGTGTATTAGGAGCCGAGCAGGCAGTCAGCCCAGTTCAGTCCTGGCTCATGCTGGGTCCGTGACCTACACCCGTTTCAGCTTTGTATTTCAAGTGTATTAAGAGTTGAGTGGGCAGGCAGCCCAGTTCAGTTCTGGCTTGCGTCGGGCCTGGGAGTTCCTAGACAGGAACTGCTTCCACCCCACGCTGCTGCCTGTGTCCGAAGCAGCAGCACAGGGCGACAGGCAGCCAGTCCACGAGGGGAGCTGTTTTTTAAGCTTACGCTGCTGCTTCTGATACAATGGCTGCCGGCCCTGCCCCCGGGGACTACAGAATAGTCAACTAACTGATAAAATTTCATGAGGCTCCTTGGCTATTCAATTAACTGATATTTAACATTCCTACTGCAAGCAGCACTGCTTAACTGCCATTTAACTTAATTTCTTCTCACAACTACATACTAAAACCTGTGACTTTGGGTTAAAGATTCTGCATTCTATCCCAGCCAATCCATAGTGTGACGGGCACTAACAGCAGGTTAGGGATGTAATAGTATAATCGATTAACTGATAAGCAAAAGCTTATAGATTAATGCTATAAACTACATGCAAAGGGTTTATGCCAAAATAGGATTACAGCCAGTCTCCGACTTTCGACCACCTCCACTTATGACCATCCGTACTTACGACAAATAGGTCGTAAATGAGGTTCCCGAGTTACGAACGTGGTCCGCGCTTACGAACAGCGCGGTTGCCATATAATTCAATAGGATCCAAGTTATGAACACTTCGTGTTACAGTCAAGTGTTTGGTCCATATCTCACTCGTAACTCGGGGACCGGCTGTATGTACATAATTCAAAAAACGGTGGCAGAATCTTGCCCCCAACATCAAATGTCTAAAATAAAAAGCCACTCTCACTGGTTTTGTTCGGCTATTTGCTATGGTAGCAAACAAAACTTCCTGTACTTACATATATTATTCAAGGCACCCACATGCTGACAGCATTTGGGACAAAAGCCATATGCTTTTAATTAAGCAATTTTGAATGTCAAGATTAAGATACCTCAAAACACTGTACATGAGCACCAAATGGCACAGACTTCAACTGGAAGTTCATAAGCCACTGCTTACAAGGAAGGAGAGGTTAGTCATCATGTCTAGTTATTTGAATTCTTGGAGGCGGTGACATTTCATCTGCGCATGAACCCTACATATCCTCATAACACTACTGAGACTACATAGGGCTGCTGCCTTCAAGTCCTTCTCTACCAAAAATCCAACAGAGGAAACACCAAAGCAGGGGGAAGCAGAGCTCAGTAGTGGAGCAACCACAAGAACACACATCTCTAAAAAATCCAGTCACCTCAAAGGATGACTATCCTCTTTTTCTTCAAGTTTCCTTGTGGTGCTTCACTTCAGGTGATTCCCAAAAAGTAACCTCTTAAGAATGTGGGAGTTTCAGAACAGAGTCCTTCACAGAAAAAAAGAACTGTATTGAGTATGGAATATCTGATCTTACAGCATGAACCAAAGGATAATGAGTGGAAAATGTATACACCAAAGGACCATATTTGGAATAGGGATGTAAGTAACTAGTCCCTTGACTAGTGGCTTCTCCCCCGCACCCTGCTGCCTCTATCATACTACCCAGTAGGTTGGCTGTGGAGCCCTCTGTAGTGGTGTCAATATGACATTCTACAAATTTGCCGACAAATTTGCTCCTCAGTTCTTTCTTGCTGGCTACTCTGACAGAAGGGAAGGAGGCTGGGTATGGAATAGATATGAGTAACACATCTTGAAGAACAAGAGTTACGAGAAGGCAAGTAAACATTTTTTCTTCGAGTGCTTGCTCATATCAATTCCAATTACAGGATATACAAGTGTTACCAAGGAAGCGGGGCTTAAGTCACTGAGTTGATGACTGCAGCACTTCTGTACCAAACACGGCACCCTGCCTGGTTTAATGCACAATGGTGTAGTGTGAGGAGAAGGTATGGTTAGATGACAAAGTTGCCGCCCAGCAGATCTCTGGGATTGGAACCTCAGCTAGAAATGCAGCTGAAGAAGGCTTGCTCATGCAGAGTGTTAGTTATGATAGTTAGCAGGGCACTTTAGCCAGATCGTAAAATGTACAGATGCATGCCATGATCCAGGAGGAAAAATGCTGACTTCCGAAAGGGCTTGGCGTGGTCGATGTAGAAAGGAAGCACTTTTCTTACACAGCGAGGGTAGCTTCTGTTCTCGTGAACTCTTATGCGCTTTGGATAGAAGATTATCAGGAATATAACCTGGCAGGTGTGAAAATCTCCACTTTAGGTAGGAAGGTCGGGTCGGGTCCAAGTTGGATCTTATCTTATGAAAAAAGTTATAAGGAGGTTTAGAGATTAAGGCCCGAAGCTCTGGCACACATTGGGCAGAGGTGAGAAGAGACAAGAAAGGCCATGGCACCAGCAGCTCAAAAGGGAGGATACATGCGTGAGGAATGGATCAGGTTGTGGTTATAGGTATAAGGTCCTGTGTGTCCCCTTGTTGGTGCGAGTACAAGGTGCTTGATTGGTGGGCAGAGTCTGTCCAGGCCCTTTGTGAAGCACCCAAGTAGGGATCTCACTAAGACAGAGCAGCCCAGTTCACCACTATGAAAAGTGAAAATTGCTGCTAGCTGTACCCCAAGGGATGAAGTTGCAAACCCTTTATGTTTTAGGGACATGACATACTCCAATGCACATGGGAGAGAGGCACGGGTAGGATCTATGTGCTGCTGGGAACACCAACACGTTCATCTTTTCCATTTCGCCAGGTACATGGCTTTGGTAGAAGGCATACAGCTGGGTGAGGACATGACTTACCTGCTCTGAACAGATAAGCTCTGCCGAGTTCAACCATGACACCTTCAGACCATCAGACAGAGAGATTGCAGGTCCTGATGGTGAAGGTGATCATGGTCCTACATGATGAGGTCTGGGAAGAGGGACAGATGAATGGATGCTTGGACTGATTGGTCTAGCAGAGTGGGATACTAGAGCTGGAGCAGCCATGCTGGGGCCACCAGAAAAACAACAATAGTCCAGCAAATTTGAGAAGCACCTTGGTACCAGTGGAAAAGATAGGCATGCACAAATCAGGTGTCCACTCCACAGGATTAGGAAGGCATATAGTGTAGCATCTGAATGAGCAAAACCCTAGGCTTTGGTTTCTGAAGAAGCAATACCAGGGGAGGGGGCATTTTTTGTTGCTGCAAGTAGCAAAGAGGTTGATTAGGGGAAAACCCCACACCTGGAAGACTGCGTGGATGATGTCCGGCCAAATCAACCACTGATAGGTGAAGAATCACCTGCTGAGGCAGTCTACCAGCTAGTTCTGAACCGTAGGAAGCTACAAAGCCTCTAGGTGGCCTGAGTGGACTATGCATAGCCCCTCAGCTGTAGGGGTCCCTGACAGAGGCAACGACTGGGCTCCACCCTGTCTGTTGAAATAAAACAGGGCAGTCATGTTGTCTGTCACGACCACCACATAGTGGTCCCTGACATGAGGTATGAACACCTGGCATGCTAGGTGGATTGCCCTGAGTTCACAGATGTTGATATAGAAAGGTAACTCCTTTTTCTTTCAGTGTGTCGTGAAATCTCCGAGTTCCCAACCCAAAGCGGTACCAGACTGGGGGGAAGGGAGGAAGAGGGGAGAGAAGGGGTGTGTGTGTGTGTGTGTGTGTGTGTGTGTGTGTGTGTGTGTGTGAGTGTGAGTGTGAGAGAGAGAAAAGGGGTGGACAGACAGGAGCCCATGCTAAGGAGAGAACCCCTGACCTCCACTGCTGATAGAGAGGCAGCAGCACGGGAGCACAGGGGGTGCAGGCGGGAGCCAGTACACACAGGGAGCCAGCTTTCAAGCCAGGTCCCCATGTGAACTGGCTCCGCTGAACCAACTGCCCTCCCCCTCGGCTGCTGCCTCTCTATCAGCCCCCTCACCCACTGTCTCCCACAGGGGTAGGAGTCAGGTGGGAGCCAGTATGTGCAGAGCATTTCCTGCTTGAAAAGGTCCTCTACTTGGAGGCTAAGATTCAGTGCCACTCTCCAAAGTAGGTCCTGCAACACTCAACAACCCATGGGAAGTAGGGGAGAATACAAAGGAGCCAGCCACTGCGCCATCTAGGGAGGAAGAAGACAAGGGCTAGAAGTCTTGTGTGTCCCTCTTGTTACTGTGGGGTGTGGGCCAGTGGAGCCTCATGCATGGCAACAGGCCATGAAGGCAAGACTTCAAGGGGTGCCCAAGCTGACCCTACTGATGTTAATGGGGGCAAAAAAATCTTTCAGCTCCTGCACATGCGTGTGCACGCACATCTGATTGGAATGGCATGAACAAGCACTCGAAGAAAGATTATAGGATATCTGGAAACTGATCCATCCTAAATCCCAAATTCCAGAATTACACTGGTTTCCACTATGCATCCCATACAGATATAGTAAAGAAAAATCTCAGAATGCACTACAGCATAGGACCTTGAGAAACCTGCCTGATATGTCAGATTCTTACCATGCACAAAGCCCTTGCTGTACGTACCCAATGATGCAAACTGAAAGAGGACACAACTGCCCCATCTGCATACTTTTAGTGCAGCTTACATATTGAGCACCAAATTCAACGTGAAAAAAGCTCCTTGGATAGATCAATCCTCAGATTAATGCTACTTGGATTTAAGAGTCTGGAGACAACAGTACATACACTTCTTCCAAATACCAGAGAATACCTAACATCTTAGTGCAGTTAAGAATAGGGATGTTAAATGTGTAAACATGTAACTGCTGGGGGTTTTTTTTAAGCGATTACATGTTTACATGCAGGGGGCATGCAGGAGCCGATGATAGAGGCAGCAGCGCTTGGGCAGGTGGCTCCTCAGGAGTTTTTATGTGCAGGGAGCAACCTTAAAAACTGGTTTTCAATGTGTACTGGCTCCCTTTTGCCCCTCCCCTGTTCCCAGCATTTCTGTATCTCACAGGCAACAGCATGGGGTGCACGAGAAGGGGAGGTCTGTCCTCCCCCACTGATGACTCTGATAGAGAAGCAGCAAGGGTGTGCATGTGTCTAATCAGTAGGATTAATGGATATGCCTGGGCTTATCTGTTAATCATGTAAACAGCTAACATCCTTAGTTAAGAAGTATTTTGCACTTGAGAATTTTAGAATTCAAAATAATCAACATCAAAAGACTTCTGATTCTGCATACAATAGAGAAAGCATAAAGTGTCTTGTTCACTGCTCACAATATCTTCGTACAGTATTCAGCCTTCAGAATTTCAAATATGTCAAGGAGGCAACCTCCAAAGTTTTACAAGTAATAACCCTGGCTAGGAAATAAGACAGCAAGTTTGAGAGTAAAGTTGTCCAAGGAGGGAGTGGGAAGAAGCTCTGCTGTACCTCTTTCCAAGGGTTAGAGCTGAATGTTCCTGATTTCAATCCATGGCCTTTCATGATCCTATCCCCTTACTGTCTATTCTCATTTTGGCTTGAAAGGACTCTTCCAAACTCCAAGAATTTATGATAATATGAAAACTCAACATTAATATTCTAGCCGTTTTAAATGCCATGGTCGAGTAATGTGCTTTACAATGAAAAGTTTTTTTTCCCCAGGAAAAGCTTTAAAAACAACAAATAGTCTAGTAGCACATGAAAGACTAACAAAGCATGTAGATGGTATCATGAACTTTTCTGGGTGCAATCCACTTCTTCAGATGACTGGGGTTTTTTTAAAAAAAAATTCTGTTACAGACTAACTCGGCTACTCCTCTGAAATTTTTCTAAGCAGACTACAAAATGTGTGCATACATATAAAAGAAAAAACTCCAAAATACGCATTTGTCAATACATCAGTCACAGGCTCAAGCTACTTTTGAACAGAGTTCAACCACACTACCAAAAAACTCAGCTTCTCTATACCATGCAATTTATAACCCTTACTATGATGCAGACTAATTTATCCTAAATGGAAGACTGAAGTATCTTATTACATTGCCGAATAAGCATCTTGTACATCTGAAGACTCAAATACTTACAGCTGTGACTTGATTTGAGCAGATCCTTTTGGCAACTGATTCATGTAGAGAAAAATATTTATATTGTGTTTTAGACTGAGCAGGCTTGATGCTTGTTCCATACAAAATATGGATTTGTCTATCAGAAGAGGATTTTTACTGAAGAACAACAAAAGCTGCCTGTAAAAATACCTAAAACAAAATATTAAAGATCTAGAAATGCTGAACTATATAGATGATTAGCATATCTATTTTATTCTGAACATCTCTAGTATTTAAATAATAATCTAGTAAAGAAATCTCAAGTGCTATATATAAGACTTCTGAGTTCTTTTTAATCCAATAGACACCAATAAAATACCGTTCAATACAAAAAAAGACATTGGTGACAAACACTGGAAAAACAGCAAGAATATATCTAAGGACTTATCTGCACAAAGCAGTAATACAAACTATAGGAGTGTGATTTTTAAAGCACACTAAGCATCGTATATGACCTATGCAGACCCTGGTAGTGAACAGCAAAGGTTTCCTAATGTGCTTTTACCTAGTGCTATCTGCAATACTACCATGTTAAAGTAAATTAGGGAACAAAGATTACATTACATACATGCATTTTGTGAATATTGAAAAAATATTCCTGAAGTGCAAACTATAGGAGTGTGATTTTTAAAGCACACTAAGCATCGTATATGACCTATGCAGACCCTGGTAGTGAACAGCAAAGGTTTCCTAATGTGCTTTTACCTAGTGCTATCTGCAATACTACCATGTTAAAGTAAATTAGGGAACAAAGATTACATTACATACATGCATTTTGTGAATATTGAAAAAATATTCCTGAAGTGCCCACACACACACATGCCACCACCCATATACCCTAAAACAGTAATCCTAGCTATAGGAAACTTCCACCATTTATGGTGGATAAGTTCTTGGCATGACCGCAAATGATGACATTTGCAAATACTGGAGGCATGGCTCCTGAACTCCCTGTGAAGAACTTCCCCCGACCCCCATCCTTCTCATGGCTCCTGGCACTCCCGGGGAACTCACTACAAATACTAGTAATCACAAATAGCAATTTTGCAAATTGTGTGGGTCTATTGTATATAAAATTAATATTCACAAAATGTATTACCATCAATATTTAGCTTACTCAAAATGATTGTCTGAAGTTCTTTCAGTTTATATACTCATTTGCTTACCTTAGCAGAGAGCGTCTTGCAGTAACAACAGCATGAGTGTCATGCAACAGTCTCCCGTCATGATGAATGCACTGACTATAATTGAATTCTCCTGTGCCTAAAGCTACCACTTCATGCTGTCCAGCTAAAACGAAAAAGTATTTAACCTGTAGTTAACAGCTTGCACCCACCATTGCCCCTATCTTTCAGCACAGTAAAAACCTACCACTCAGTGTAACAATGATACACATGGCTTAGGGCGTTAATTTACCTAGGATGCAGGAAAAGAGGGAAGGATGATATTCTACTTTGTGTAGAGAGATTAATTTGTCCGCTTTGTTCAGTACAGACAGACCTGATCATTATCTCATTGAGCCAGACCTCCAAGGGTTTTCAAAAAGATCTCTTCTCTTCCAATCTTCTTGATCACATTTGCAGTGTGTATTATCTCCCTTTTCCTCTGTTGCTGCCCCTCAAAGCTTCATCCAGGATTTGTTGATAATGCGGTGACAATTCAAGCCTATTTCAGCACTTTGGCTTCCTCACTACCACATATATCGTCATTAAGGTCATGGTTCTTCCAAGATGTCTCATCACATTAAAATCAGTAGGACAAGAACAAAGCTCATCTTTCCCTTTTCCACCATGCTCCCCGTTGTCTAAACTGCCACCTTTGCAATATATCTCTCCCTTTATTTCCTACTCTCGTCTCCCCAAAAAGGTTTTTTCTTCTTTTCTCCTTTTCCAGATTATTGCAACCGCTGCTCTCTATCCTAGATGATGTCAACACTGCTCTTCCCCATAACAGACAGAATGCCAGCAAATTCTTAAATCCTCAACCAACTCCCTGACCTTGCTGTTAAGAGATGGTAACACCAGAGTTAGAAGTATGCCCTAGAGTCCAACACTGTAGCAGGAAGGTAAGGCACATGAAAATTCTAGTCATCCTCTTCCATGCATTGCAAATTATGTCAGTAGGTTAGCAGAATGAGGTGACCTCCCCAAGCCTGAAAGGAAGACCCAAGACTGAAAAGCAACCCAAATGTGTAACCTCACATACTAATTATTGTCAAAAGTAACTTCTCATTTTTAAAATACATAGAAAAATCAGTCTATTCTTTGCACATAAATCTAGCTACAATGTACTAGATTTTCAGAACCTCTTGGCTAGCTAACAATAGCGCTGAGGGATCTTATACGTTGGGAAGTGCCCTGTAATGCCAGCATTCATCATTTGAATATAACTGTGATGTTTCATATAAAACATTCTATGTGAGGTATCATGGGAAAGATTATGATCTACTGAAACTTACTGTTCCATTTCCATATGTGTATCATTGATGTTTCTGAAGTTATGAGAATTGTGTTCTTTTTACTGCCACTAAAATATGTTACGGGTTTGAAAGCACCCAGATATTAGCTTCCCAAAGACAATAACCAGGGGGATGACCAATACCTGGGTGGGCATCAAATGACCATCAACAGCCATTGTCCAGAAAGAGAGATGCAGTGCAATGACTCACGTGCAGATCACCACGCCAGGGGAATTGTCCAACCTTGTCTAGTGACTCAGCAATGCCCACCAGATGTGCCTGGACTTATGTTCTCCAAGAACATGGACTAAGGGCATAAACCGGAACCCAGGGGCCTCATGCATTTGCCTTTTCTTCTCTCCCCACCGATGTTACAAGCAACAGAAATGCTAACAAGGCTGAAGACTACAACTGAAGAGACAGGCCAAAGCTTTAAGAGACAAACTCGTACATGAAGGATTTTAAGATCCAGTGTGGTGAACACACTACTTGATCTATATAGTGCCTTCTGTGATAAAGGTCAAGGGTTAGACTGTATGCTTATATTTTCATTTGGCTACCACTAACTTTTTGCCTATCATTTATAATTAAGGCTCTGTGTTTGACACAGAGGTCACAGAAGTCACAGATATAAGGGAGCTAGCAATGGTGACCACAGGGCTGCACAAGCAGCTGGCCCTATGACTAGTCACTGGGGTGGCCCCATCATTGGCCTAATCAGCTGCAGTTTTGCTCCCCCTTTCACATGGTGCCACAGGTGGTGACATGTCCGCCACCACAATTCAATCATTTTAAATTTTTTTGTATTTGTGATATAAACCACGAATAGGTCATTGGCCGTGATTTGTTGTTTCCTGTCCATGACTTACTAAAAAGACACCTATGACTAAATCTTAGCCTTACATAACACTTAAAAAAATCTATCTTTTGTTGTATTGAATAAACTTGTTTTATTATTTATCTTTTCGAGTGAATTGGTCAGGCGTGTTTGGTAAATCTGTTCAGGTTTATAAAGGCTGGTGTATAGCCACTTTCCATTGATGAAGTGATGAGCTAACTAAAACTTGTATTCTTCAAGAAAGTGTCCTAAGCAATCCAAGATGGTATATTCCTGAAGTACAGGCAGTCCCCGGGTTACGTACAAGATAGGGACTGTAGGTTTGTTCTTAAGTTGAATCTGTATGCAAGTTCTGGCTTACATACAGATTCAACTTAAGAATCCCAGGCGTCCCCAAGTCAGCTGCTGCTGAAACTGATCAGCGGCTGATTCCAGGAAGCCCGGGGCAGAGCAACTCTGCCTCGGGCTTCCTG